TCGGCAGAATCTCATCTGCCATCATCAGGCTTCTGTATTGTGTTCGTTCCCAGGCGAACACAATACAGAAGCCTGATGATGGCAGATGAGATTCTGCCGAAACGTTGCTACAACTTTAAAAGCACAACTACAATGATGTGGGAAAATACTCGAACAAAGCTGAATACCATACATACATACATACATATGTATAGATATAGATACATGCACACACATATATATAATCTGTGTGTGTGTTTTTCTATATCAGTACAACAGTTGTAGAAATCAATGGTTTGGATTATTTGAGAATTGCCCATGAAGATGGCAATGTTCCTCATTATCTTCACCTGGAGTTGCCAGGAGCTTGTTCATGTTTGAAGAATTATTAGCAACTGTATTCATTTGCAAGGAGAGTTTTAGGATAATTATGCAGTTATGCATAAATCAAAGTATTTCAAAATAAGACAGTTACAAAATAATTTAGTATTATTATCAGGAAACCATGTATAGATTACAGTAGTCTAGACTATGGGCTGAGCTCAATTCAAAGACACTTTACAGTACTTTATAAACCACATTTAAGTATTTTTTTTATTGTAGGAAAGACTATAGTACTAGGATGACTATTGATATGAATTGATATTAGTACTGAAGAAAGGTTATTGAGGCTTGCACAATTTTAGAAAAAAATGAATTTGGGTCAGTATGGTATCTTGTCTTTCCAAGTTTGGTTGTGTTTATGAATGAGAATCACTGAGAGGCTCTGTCAAAAGCTGAAGTTGTTTTAATAGGTATTAAAATATTGTTAGTTGCTACAGTAATATATTTAAGAACTACCTATATTTTTAAAATATATGCTGTATTTTTACACTCCATTTGAAAAGGAAGTAGGCCTGATAGCTGTAATATATTAGTTTAGATTGTAAATTAGTATCTTTGTCTATTTAAATCAGGTATTTGTTCTATTTCCAGAAGCAATTGCTTTTAAATTTGTGTTTTACTGAAGTACTGAACTATAATATTGTTTTGATTAGGAGCAAAAAAATATTCAAGATAGCATGAAAACCAGAAACAGATAACTCAGACAGTGTAAGATAAAGTCTGTAACAACAAAAAGATTTTCAGATGGTAAAATCTCACCAGAGTAGGGGCATGGGCTTTCAATGGGCAAAGCTTCCTTTGAACTCTATTCAAAGCTATGAGTGGTTCTCAAAAGAGAATTATTTCTGCCACCACTCCGTTTCATTCATGGAATTTTAGGGGGACCCAGATGCTGTCATCAGCTATTGTAATTTGCTTCTTTCATCTTTTCATAGAAAACTGTTAAGATGCAGGGGAAAAAAGCCTTACAAAGTTTTTTGTCTGTGAATATACCATGGAAAAGCCCTTTGCTATGTTCTTATCAACCGTATTTCAATGTCTATAGAATGTATAATGTCTTTCTCATTGTTATGCATGAAAGTGTGCTCATTTGGAAGGAATAAAGATTTCAAAGATATAAATGTGATAAACTCATAATTGATTTGGGCTTAAATAAAAATAGAATCCATAAAAAAGGAATAACATTACCTAAAATCGTTTCCAGTCAAAATATTTCAGTATTTTGAACCAGTTTCTAAACATAGATACTTGAGAGAAATTTAAGGTAACAAAAACATGAGAGTGTTATTTTAACACACTGTTTTACCCAAGATTTAGTGAAGGTGAATCAGGTGAATAGATGCCATATTGGTTCCCTTTAATGTAGACATTGTAACCAGGAGTAAAATCAAGCTACAGTGTCTGCATTAAGGGGATATATTTTGTACTGCACAGTGAGTCTGATTCCTTGCATAAAATTTGGCTCCTCAGGAATTAAAAATAGCATTAACATGCTCTTTTTACCTAAGGTTTTATCTCAGCAGGTTATGCAAACATCGTTACAACAATCTTTATGTAATTAAGTATGTCTAATCATGGCTAGATTTGCATTTTGCCCATAATGTGAATGTTCTGTATAGTTGCAACAATTCTCTGAAATGTACTAATTGCTAAATACAGAATCTATTTGGATTTAAAGAGATATGAAATATACTTTCTACCTAATTATTGATGATTCTAATTTAATTTTTAATTGTTGATTTAATATTTTGTATAGTTCACAGTAAACTACTTTGAGACAAATGTATACATTTTAATAAAAATATAAATAACATGGAAGTTGTTAATATATAAATTCTATTTAGCTGCGGTAGCTATATTGATATACAGAAGCAAAGTTGTGACCCGAAAGATTTTTAAAATCTGTTTGACAGTGATTAACTAATTCTTGATTAGTTTTGTACTTAACATATTTTCAGGTTTTGCATGCATTGGTAATAGGTTTCTTTTTCCCACAGAAATTCAGTTCTGTGGGAAAAGATCAGAAAGACAGGTAAGCATCCTTATTTTCGTGGTAACAAATAACTGGCATGAAGTCTGGACTGAATCAGTGTTTTTTAAGCTAGGCTTTAATAAGAGACTCACTAGTTCATACCTTGGAATCCTAGTCATTATGCTTCATTACTGCTTTGTTCTCTCTGTAACTGCACATTACGATACGTATGTTGTGCTCTTTAAATTTTTGGCAGTTTTTTAAAAAATTTTGGGAACACTGAGTATTTGTGTAACTTAACTCTGAACAACTGCAACAGGAACATTTCTTGTACTGCAACAGGAACATTTCTAGCTAAAGTATTGTTAAGTTTTGTACAATTCAGTGGGGTTAGCCAATCTTGAGTTACAAGAGCTTGTTATTAGATGGCAAGAAAAAGATACAGGCAGTTGTCTGGATTTTTTTCAGCTCAAAAAGGATGTTCTGGTATTTATTAATTAAATGTATATGCTTATTCAGAAGTGACCAATCTGATTGTAGCTCTAAGTCAATGGCACTTTGATCAAAATTGGCTAATGCATGTTTGTAGCCCTTCAGGATGATGGAGGCACATGAGAAGCCATAGGATTTTAAATTTTCATGTATTTGCCTGATACCAGGGAAACTAGAAACTATCAGTTATAATTAAAGGGACCAAGCTGACTGGAAAAAAAAGAAGCTTAAGACAATATGAAAGAATTTGAATCCAGGTGGAAGTTTCTATTTCGAGTAGGCTGCAACAAAGCACTACATTTGAAATGCAGTGGGGCACTTAAAAATCTCAGCAACCTAGAGTGAACTCCTTTTGAGGAGGGTAATGTAATGGCTCAACTGGTCTCCCAAGAGGAACTGAGCTCAGATCTTTGGTCAAGAAGGCTTTGATCACTATGGATTTGTGCTGAACTCCTTCAAGGAAGTAGAAGGATTGTAGAGTTGAAGTGGTTTTCTCTGTGTTTAAGATGACATAGCTGGCTTGGGATTTCCATGGAAAAATGACTCTTGGTATTCGAAGGTCTTGACCATTCTGTTTAGCCACCAGATATCTGTGTCTTAGGTCTCTTGGCAAATACCATGACTGTGGTTTTTGAGCAGTTAATTTCTAGCAGCTCTTCTTGATAGTATTCAGCAAGTGTATAATGTGCTCACTTTGGGCCAATGTGCCTGTTTTGATGGAGAGATTGATTATTCAATTTGTTTCTGAATGGAATAAAAAGGAGAAGAACTAGAGTGCACCCTTGTCTCATACCTCATTTGGCTTACCATCTTGTATATTTGAATAACAATATTTTGCTTTGTTGCCCTACTCTATGTTCGTTGTGTAGTTTTTTTGGAAAAAGAAAATAAGCTACTATATAATTTATGGCAATGAACAAAAAAATACACAAGCATAATCTCTGTTATATTTTTAATGTAAAGCAAAGTCATTGTTCTCAATTAAGGTTTCTGCTTGAATATGGAGCTAATACTGAAATACTAGAAGTAGTTCAAGAATTGTTGAATTGATGCATATAAAGCAGTGCATTGAGAAACAGCCTGGTGTTTATTTTTATAACTTTTCTTAAATCTTTCTACAAAATATTGTGCAAGATTTTATTCTTTTGCAGGATCTTTTTATTTTAGATGTCCTTTAGAATATACAAAGGACAAAAAGCTGTTAGTTGCCCTCACATTCATAATCAAATATATTAAGGTATTTTGTTTCTGCAACTTAATTACTATTGAAATTTGCTGTCTATCTTTCAGTTCAACATTGTGAAATTGGAAAATAACTTAGTTAAAATAAGATTAAGAACATTTCTTTTTTGGCCATGATTTTATTAGCCTAGTTTCACATACAGCTGTTTTGTTTCTATAGACTCTGCTTAAATGGAAGCCACTTCTGGGAACTTGACGGTCTCTACTGACATAGGCTTTGCATAGCCACTGTACCACCCCAGAGATTGCAATGAGTGGAGGAGGGGAACAGCCGGATATTCTTACTGTGGGGATATTGGTAAAAGAAAGATGGAAAGTGGTAAGTATGTAATAGTTTTATTGATTTTTTTCTGATGTTTGGTTATATAAATTTCAATCAAATAAAAAAAAATCAAAATGTTATGTATATAATTTAAGAGAGCAGACAAAGCTATAAACTGCAAGACAGGAGAAGATAGTGCATTACATCCTTCTTAAATACGGTCTTGAGCAGCATGATAAATAAATAATAAGATTATGGCTTACCTAATATGATGGCTACAACGAAATAATGAAAATATAATAATATTATCGATGCTTTTCAGGAGTGGATTCCTATATGTTACAGCTGGTTAGCTGCTTTATCAGTCAGTGTTCTGCGCCTGCTCTTTTCCTGGGTTCTTGTGTAGTTGAAAACTTTACAGTCCCTCCTTTTTGGTCATTCTTATATGATATTTTAAAAATATTCTGTATAATAATAGTTCTGCCTTTATTAGGCTGGCATGATGCAATTTTCCAAGCATTCTTTGCTGGTCCAAGTTAACCTCTTTTCCCTTTCTATGTTTGAGATTAACTGTCTAAACACAATCTCCTTGGTGTCTGCAGAGGTTTCTTGGTTGTTGTTTTTTTAGTTAATGAACACACATATCCCCCCCCCCGCCTTTGTTTCTGTCACTCGCATACACACTCATTCATAGGAGGAAGCTGAAAAATCCAGCAGAGGATAAATGAGTGGCGAGACTTAAGGGAAGTAGGAGGAGCTTGTATTTGACTGAATGCTTCTGGGTGTGTCTGAGCGAGACAGAAATATTTAGAGGGAAAGGTGCAGTATGTATTTTTGAGAGAAAGTTATGGGTGCTTGTGGTCCTGTTTTTTAAGAGTAAGAGGTTTTTTATGTGTGATGGAAAATGATTTCAAATGTATCTACACAGCAGGATACTCTCTTTTAGAGTAAGTAGTATTATATAAAGCTTAGAAAGGAAGTAAGAAATTACTGACCAAATAAAGGCATTAGGTAAAAAAGATATAGTATATAGGTAAATCTAGTTTATACCAACTTTTTATCTTTCTATTTTTAACTCTACCATTTCCACACAAGATTTCATGTGCTATTTCTCTCCTTTATTTTAGTGTTTTGTGGTATAATAAGACATGAGAATAGGGTGGCATATCCAGAAAACCCAAACAGGATTTTTCTGCACTAACTACAATCAGGAGGCAGAGAGAGGAATGAGAAACACCTGCCAGAATAATATTTTAGTAATTAGCAATGACATAGCTAAAGCCTACTCAATAAAATGCAACATCTTTTGTCAGAACTCCTGGATCCTACACATATTCATCAAATGATAATTACTTATTCTTAGTGTAAAATTAATAAGTATCAGAATGTCAAGTCATCATCAGTAAAGAGTGTAATTTGGGAGCCCTGTGGACGAATGGCTGAAGATGCAATAGCTGTTGGAAAGGACAAAAGAGCCAAAAGATAATGATGTGCATCTTAGATATATTCAGTCTGAGATAATGGGAAGACATCCAATATAAAACAATAAGACTGTCTGTCACGGCTGACTATGCATTGTTATCAACGGTCCAAAAATTGATAGACTGAGTATAAACTTCATAATAATGATAATAAAAGACTTGAATATGAATACTCAAGGGAAGACTATGAAAGATAAACAAATTGGTTCTAGGACTGATCTCTGAGGGGTAAATGTAATAAGTAGAAATTCCCAAGACTAAAAATTTACCATACAACATTGCAAAACAACAAGAAAGAAGGGGAGGGGAGAAGAACCAATAAAGTCAGGGTTATCCAAGGATCATAATGTCAATAGCTGTTTCAAAATGGTCAAGTGTATTAAATATTGCTGTCAGCTCAAAAAAAATAATAATCTGGTGCTGAGGTAAAGGATATTTTGGGCACCAAAATAGAATTCAAGAATGTGCTATCTTAGTTGAATGGCCTGCTTGAAGTCTTGCTTGATATGCGTTGAGAAGGCGATTAGAATACAAGTGAAGAATCGGTTGTGAGAAGGGAACTCTTCCAAAGATATCCCAAAGGTACTTTTTCAGGAGGCAACTTGACTTTCTTGTTTTTTCTTTGAAGATGTTTCGCTTCTCATCCAAGAAGCTCCTTCAGCTCTGACAAGACAGTGGGGAATGGAAGGATTTATATTCCTTGCAGACAGCTGGTCATTTGCATCCTTTTAGGGAGTCATTGAAGCACTTGGAGCACTTGAAGTCCTCAGGGTCACCTGAGTAGTGTTCCTGGTTCCTGCATTTTTTTCTCTGGAAATACATTCTTACTCCCACACCATTCAAAGGGTGTTCATCCCTTTGCTAAATGTCTGTAGAGATTCTCAGTCATCCCGGTCATGGTTGTCCCAATGATGTTTTTCAGGATGCAACTAGACTTTCTTATTTTTTCTGTGATGACGTTTCGCTTCTCATCCAAGAAGCCTCTTCAGCTCTGAAGAAATATATTTCTTGCTGGAGAAAACTCTGTTTCCCGTATCAGTAGAGTATATAACAGGATTGTTGAGCACTACAGCCAAATGGACAAATATTCAGTGCCTATTTCACAGGGGAATAATGCTACATCTAGGGAGTTTTTACAAGATTTCAGCAAGATGGGGTTCTCCCTTAGCCTGCCAACCTGATAACAGCAGATGGTAATAGACAAGTGATCTGCTTTCTCCCGCTAATTTAAAGATCCCAGAGCAGAGAATTCTACGGCCAATATAGTTAATTTAAATCAACTATATTTACATATTTTTATTTTTTTAAGGTTTTATTAAAGTTTACTGTGGTATAAAATACAAATGAAAGTAAAGAATAAAAAGGGAAAGAAATGTAAGGTAGAAAGAAAAAGAAAAGCAGTGACTTCTGACTCTCTTTGGTGTAGTAGAACACAAAGTACAGTTGCAAGCTCAGCTTTTTGCTTTATATTTCTAGTAGATACAATAGCAATATAAATAGCACTTAGACTTATATGCCCCCTTACAGCCGTCTCTAAGCAGTTTACAGAGTCAGCCTATTGCCCCCAACAATCTGGGTCCTCATTTTACTCACCTCGGAAGGATGGAAAGCTGAGTCAACCTTGAGCCTGGTGAGATTTGAACTGCCAAATTGCAGTCAGCCGGCAGTCAGCAGAAGAAGCCTGTAGTAGTGCACTCTAACCACTGTGCCACTGCAGATACAAGCCATTTCTATAACTACAAAAGTAATTTAGTCATCAAAATCTAAAATCAGAGTTTCGTCTTTTTTCTGTTTTGAGTATAAAGTCCAGAAGCAGTTTCCATGTGGAAACAAAACTGGGTAAGTTCTTCTCTTTAATTAAACAGGTAGCTTTGCCCATCTCCATCATTTTCATCACTTTTTCCATCCATTCTTCCACTTGGGGATTGACATGTCTTTCCATTTTTTCACATAGAAAATAATTGCTACTGTCTACATATATAATAACAAAGTTCCAATTTTTTCGTGTTCCATATCCAATGGTCCTAAAAGGAAAATTTCATGTTTCAATTTTTTAGTTTTTTAAAGAATCTTCTGGATTAAGATGAAAAATCTGGCCCCAATATTTCTTTGCTTTGTCACAAGTCCACCAAAGATGATAGAAAGTACTTTCTTTACATTTTCAAAAAATATTTGAGATACCTTTATACCTCATATTAAATAAAATAAACTGAATAAATAAATAAAACATTTACATATTTTTCTTAATGATTTTTATATTTAGTCAATCAGCTGGAATAATTTTAATCTGTTAATGAATTAAAGTCTTTTAATTAAAATTTTATGTATAGTTTTATATTATTTTATTTTAATGCTATTGTTCTAAAAAGTCCAGAGGTATTACATGTTCTTTAAAGTAATAGACAGCATTTTAGAAAATATATTTTTGTTTCTATGACATGAAAGCTGATTCTAGAATTATAGCTTTTGCAATGGGTGCCTGTTATTTAACAATCAAGAAAAATCTATGTTTCACACCTGATTAAATCTACATATGAAACTATATTTACAATTAAAATTCTTATGTATAAGTGGCTAAGATTTATTTTAAATGGATGATAATCCTATTTTAGTACATTTTTCTAGCAGTCTTATACTTGCATAATTCTAGCTTTGTAACTGATGGGGCACATGAAAATTCCAGACCTTGATTGTAACAGTACTACCATGGAGTTTTTTAATTTTCTGAAGCAATTGCTCGTATACAGCCAACAATGTTATTTTAGAATTTCTATTATTTTGCCTAATTTATTTCTCAGCCATAATAAAAAAATAAGTGTACATAATAAAGCAGTTTAAATATTTTTAGTACGATAATTAGACAATAATTCAAGGTTTATATTAGGTAACACAAAAACTATAATTTTTAAATAATGCACTAGATTGATAGTCTTATTTATTACAGATAAAGAAGATTGGAGGTGGAGGATTTGGAGAAATTTACGATGCAATGGACATACTTACTCGAGAGAACGTTGCACTGAAGGTTGAGTCAGCGCAGCAGCCAAAGCAAGTTCTGAAAATGGAAGTAGCTGTGTTGAAAAAATTGCAAGGTAAAATGAACAAAGATCCTTATTCTGTGGTTGCTAAGCCTCGGATACACATTGCTAATGTATAGCAATTTTCTTATTGTTCTGAAAGTCAGAATGGTGGGACACCCTTGAAAAAATCAGGAAAGGTTCTGAGTATGAATAAGATATTCATTGATCAGGTGGCAGCCAAATTTAACAAATAAATAGCATTTCTGGATGCAGTTCTGTGTCTTATCAGAGTTCAGTATGGCTTCATTACACATCAGTATGTTTAAGGATTGTAACTTTAATCACATGTTGAGATTAAAAATAGGAAGATTAAATTTACATTGACCTTAATGACTTAAATGGGTTGGTTTATATGCATGACTTGAACAATGAAATATGGCAGCATTCGGGTTTTTAAGTCTTTATAGTTGGGGATTGTGAATGCAGATCATGAGTGCTTATTTTGTGTTTTGCAGGTAGCTACAGTATAGGAAACTAGGTGTTGTTTAAAGTCTTGGAAAAACAAATGCATTCTTGTTTACTCTTGTTGTCCACAGACTTCCTTTCAGCTGCTTCCTCCCCCCCACCCCACCCAATGCCTTAATTATTATAGGCTCCACTTTATGTCACATTTCCATTAAAAATCAGTTAGTGGGAACACAGGGAACCCCTTATCTTTTGCTTTTCTATCTACTTTTAATATGCAAATAGTTTCAGCATTTGTCAAAACTCAGAAACTGGCTCAAACCTTGTTAATACTTGGATGGAAGATCTTCATGGAATAGTATAGCTGTAGGTTTGATTGGAGGTAAAAAAAGCCAGATGTCAAACCAAACAACATAGACCTGTCCATGAATAGTCAAATTTGATGGATGTTTTACCTTCATATTGTAACTATCTTCTTTTACTGTATTTATAGCCTGTTATCTATTTTTATGTGAGTGAGAAAGACAGACAGATTGGCTTTAATGCTGGGTTTGAACATCTGATAACTTGATATCTTGTGCATACCTTAAGACTTTATGCAAAGAGATAAAATGCTAATATGAATCTTGAGTACATCCCAGCATTGGCTTTTTTATTATGGAAAAAAATTCATTTTTTAAATCTTCCACAAATTGATCTGTTCTCTGTTTGTGGTTGTTTATTTTAGGAACTTTTTGTATGAGAGAGGACTGAAAGCTTTTAAGACTTTAAATTGTGCCAGATTGCTTCTATCATACAACTGATGATTTTAGGTGTGTTCGATATTCCATTACAAATTCTTGAAATTGGATGAAGGAAGATGATAGGGATGAACTTATAACTCTCCAGCTGTCCATCTTTTAAGATACAAATACTGCATCCGTAAAAGAGAACTAGCAACTGGGGAGCCTGCCAGTAGGGTATGATCACAAAGATAAGTCTGGCAAATCTGAATTTACCTGTCTATTACTGCATTGAAGAAAATATTCAAATAAAATAACTATTCAAAGAAGTGGAAAAAAGAAATCAGAGCCAGAATTATTCCTTCTCAGCAAGGCTTGAACTTTATGGTGTAGTAACAAGTTTTGATGCTGTGCATCAGATTAATGGTCATGAAAGGATATAATTTTTTTGAATTTTGTTATTGGCTGCATTCACCATTTTGTTCTTTAGCTGCTTCTTACTTATTTGTTTTATTTATTTGCTTTTGAATTATTATATTTTATCTTTCAGTTATATTAGGAGTTGCCCAGGGTCATTTGGAGTTGGGTGGCACCTAAATTAAATAAATTTAAATTAGATTAATATGTTGGTGATATATTGTTTACTTTGTAGTGCATTTCACTCAACATTTGCACATTTTTCTTATGTAATATTTGTCTATCCATTCATGACACTTTTGTTTTGTATCTGCTAGATATAGAATTTTGCAAGTTACACTGTTTACCAAAATATCAAGCAACTAGATATGAACTTCAAATTATTCCTTTAGTTTTCAGTTAGCCTTCTAGATTTAATTGCTTCAAAACTTAAGTTATTTGTGTTCCTTTACCCAGAATATTTAGCTCTAATCTTTGGATTCTGACTTCGATTCATTTTGACTTTTTAGGATTTCTTGCTGGTTTTCATCTGCAGGCATTTAAAGTCACAGGTTTAGATTTTGATATCATGGTAATTTCCTTACTGTTTTAGGAAATTCATAAACTCTCATTATTTGCCTATTTTCTGTACAGAAAGTACAATATTTTGCAGAGTTATGGATAAAAAACAGTGCTGCTTCCAAACCAATTCTGATTTATCCAATGGAATAAGCAAAGTTATATTCTTTATTGTTGTGTTTGTTCATATTTCAGAATTATTCAATGTAAAAGTTAGTTTTTATCATTCTTATATCAGTTTTTTTAGAATGTTTCCAGAATTTAAGAGTGAGAGGTTTTGCTCAGGATCTCTTCTTGTTTGGAATCATTCATGTTTGTAAGTACTTACAAAAAGTGTCTGCCGGGATACCGTAGCAAGAAAAGAGGATCCCTGCAACCAGTTGGTATTGGGGGAGCATATTTAGTGGCTGGTGCAACTCTGTCTTTTCTAACCACTTTGTAAACTTTTTTTTTTAAGTACAGAGGGTGGGCAGTTGCCCCGCTTTTGACCTCTCTAATTTATAGTCCTCCTATGACATGACAGGCTGGAGGAGTATTCATTAATCTAAATCAACCCTTGTTTGTTTCATATACATCTTCACTCCACACCTATTGGATTTAGATATTCTCATGTCATAATGAATATGACATGACCTATCCATAAGCTGGTTGAGTATGTTATATGAATATGGAAATTGTATATTTTTCGTAAGGCTAGTTTTAAACCAGATAATGTTTTTCCTATTTTCCTCTTAATTCATATGTTTTGAATAGAACTTGATTTGGATAAGTATAGGAAAATAAATATTCCCAGAAAAGTTGTTGGACAATATAAGATGATGGCTGGACAGTTTTTTGGTTCAAGAGACTGAGACATTATTATCTGTTATAGTGAATATCATGTTCCTAGGATAAGGAATCTTTCAAAACTCTGTGCTTTCTCAGTCTAAAGATGTAGCTGCTTCTATTATCTGGGTGCATAAATTCAGACAGTGAGTTCTTAAAATAGATTCTACATTTTTCTGTCTATAGAAAAGTGTCAAATAGGGTCAAGAGCTTTTTAACTATAGAATTGAGAGCAAAAAGGAATAAAACTAAGGGATCATATAGATTGGTCACAAATAAGTGCAGGAAAAATAGTTCTTTGGATGAGAATTAAATCCAGTGGTGGGATTCAATTTTTTTTCACTACCGGTTCTGTGGGCGTGGCTTGGTGGGCGTGGCAGGGGAAGGATACTGTAAAATCTCCAGTCAGAGGTGGTATTTGCCGGTTTTCCAAGCTACTTAAACTTTCCGCTACCGGTTCTCCAGAACTGGTCAGAACCTGCTGAATATCACCTCTGGTTAAATCTCTTGCAGTGAATTTCTCCAGAATTTAGACATTCATCTTTGGAGGGAGTATATTCCAGAGGATAGGAGCAACAGCAAAGAAGATTTCTTCTTTGATCCCCCAGTTGAAATTCTTTAACTGATGGGGTCCATAATATACCAGTAGGTAAGACATTCCCCTAAATCATAGCCACTACCAAAATACAGGCCAAAATATCGACTCATCAAGTTCTTCCCCTACAAGTTCTTTCAATCTGATCATAATTCAGTTTCCTTTCCAGCTATTGGTTTGCAAACGAAGGTAGGTGAACGTGTAGCAAAAAAGATGTAGGAGGAAAAAATTGAAAGGTGATAGCAGGAACAATCCTTCCTCCCTTTTGACTTCTATCCATGATTCTATCTGTGTTTCATTTTTGCCTTTGCTGCCCTGTTTTGTAAGTAAAAGCTATTATATCTGTAGCTGACCAACAACAGAGGAGTAATTAGTATATCTGATAACGAGGGCATGAAGGAGGAGTAGGTTGGTTGAACAGTGTATTCTGGCTGCCCCATTAATGTCCACAAACTGTTTGATCTAGTTTCACTTAATCATATCAAGCTAATATACACTTACATTCTTTTCCCGTAAGTCAGGGGTCCCCAACACCTAAGCTGTAGCCCACTACCAGGCAGTGGCCTATTTGCAACCAAGATGCGCAAATGGGAGGCTAGGGTGCACACACGTGCATGTGGCTAGACTCATGTGAGCAGCAGGCTGGTGCACGTGTGCATGCAGCTTGACTTGTGCAACTGGCAGGCTGGCACGCATGTGCATGGGCAGCTCAACTTGCAGTCAAGCAGTGCACACTTGCCTGCCTCTCACACAGTCTGGTTCCCCTATCCCTCCCTCCAAATGGGCCACCAAGCTGCAAAGGTTGGGGACCACTGCTTTAGGTAATCATGCAAAAATCAGTGTTACCTTGCTTTTTTTTTTTGCAAAACTACTGCATTTTAATAATGTGATTTTTCATATACTAAATTTTGGGAGAATTGGGACATCGGGTTCAACATAGAAAAAATACCAGCTCCTATGTTCACATTTTCGTTACATGAATAACTGAATATCCTCAAAATAAGTTTTTTTGCAGGCCAGTTTTGGCAGTATATTCTCATGCTGTTCAGAAACTCCATGTAGCCACTAGCCCACAGACTTCACATTATAAAGTATGTAACTTAAGTATGTAACTTAAGTTGTACCTAGAGTATCTAAAACAGGTCCTCCTCATTGTGTAAATGGTTTCTTTTTCAGTTTTTGTAGCATGTTTGTTAGATATGGTGGTTTGGGGGGGTGGAGAACAGTTAAGAAAGAGATTCAGTGTTTTTGAGTTAATGAATACACAGCAGTAAATATTCATAATGAAGAACCTTTGCATCCATTATTTTTTTTCCAATATTTGTCTAAGTCAAAATGCATTGGAATATAGTTTTCCTCCTAGATCTATTTTTTCTAATTGCTATCATCACTCTAACACAGGGGTAGGGAAACTTGGCTCTTTTATCACTTATGGACTTCAGCTCCCAGAATTCCTGAGTGAGCCATAAAAGGTTCCCCATCCCTGGCCTACTGGTTTTTCAGTTGTGGGGG